TTGCGAATCGCGCGATTCGCAAAGTCTGACATCGGCCTTAAGCTCGACGTCATCTTAGCCAGCGATATGCCAGGCAGTGAAGATCGTCGTCATGAACAATAGCAAGACCTAGCTCTGAATATTAAAAAAGCACAACCAAATCGTTCAAAGAGACAGTCAACAATAAATGTGCAATTTCGAATTAGAAATTTGTGGAAGTTGCGAATAAGCAGGCTTGAAATTCATTACATCCCATGTAAGACCCCATCAAATCTGTTCATTCCTTAGCATTGTAATTTCAGTTTGGTGGATCTAACGAGCAACAGCTAGTCGTGCCAAAAACCACATTTGGACTGGCTACCCACATCTCCTCTGACTTCAAGAACGTAGGTTCCGCGAGATTCAGACTCGCTATAGAAGGTGGATATAGATTTCTCGTTCTAGGACCCAACTGACGGTATCCTTGGACTCGCTTTCACGACACTTGCTGTCGACAATGTTGTGCCTCCGCTCATCAACGCCATTAATCAGAGTGAGCTTGCTTCTTGATTCAGAAATTTTGAAGGTGCAAGCCTTAATTTTGGCGATCCGAAGATTTCTCTAGCTTTCCTTCCCACTTTCAGCCCGTTCCACAGCTCAGTCACCATTACGAAGCGCTCTTATCACCAGTTTTATCCCGGGGCTTGCTTTTAAGGGATGAGTCAGGTTGGCTGGTTAGATAGCTACGTAGATTAACCGCAGCCCAACCTATGCTCTTTTCTCTATACCAAATAGTTTTAACTGGAAGATGCTTAAATTTCGTAACAGTGTGGAATCACCCAGCTGATCAAAGCAATAAGACATCGAAAACGTTCCCTTACAGATCTGCTCGACCAGCCGCTGTTCACCGTGTGGATGGAGCACCGTGGTAAACTCGAAGGAGCTCCAGGAGGAATTTTCACATATGGAGCGATTGATACCACGAATTGTGGACCAATCACCGCCTATCAACCACTTTCCTCTGCCACATACTTCCAATTTAAGGTGATAATGTTGTTTGCAGTAAGCTAGTGTAACTCTTGCTGAAGGTTTGGTTAGCGTTAAATGGTTCCAGATGGCCGCCATTGGTATGGGATCCTACAAGAGCAGCAAAGTCTACGAGGTGATCTCTGACACCGGTACCTCCTTCATCGGCGGTCCCAAAGCGGTCACTGATGCCTTGGCTGCGGCCGCTGGAGCTAAGGTATGGCTTCAGAAACCGATGTAGTAAGGTAAATAGTGATCAGGTTACCAACAACCCAATTCTGTTTCAGTACAGCATTCTGGAGGAGTCCTACACCATCCCCTGCAACGCCAACCCACCCACCCTCGATGTCACCATCGGCAGCAATGTGTACTCCATCGACCCTGTCAACTACATAGTTAGCGTAAGTGTAATCTAGCATTCGTTGCATGCTGGTGGTCACGTGGCTAATCCTCAAAACCATCTGATGCATACTTCTGTGTTCCAGGCAGGACTTGGCAGGTGTCTCTTTGCGATCTTCCCCTTCGAATTCGGTGGTTTCGGCCCATCATGGATTCTTGGCGATCCATTCATTCGCCAGTTCTGCAACATCTACGACATCGGACAAAAACGAATGGGATTCGCCCCATCGATCCAGAACTAGATCACTGTATATTCAAAAATATAAACTAAGCAGCATTTTTGATAATGTATTTGTAGTGTAAATATTCGTGTCACTAAATCGTACTCAGCATGCATTGTAAAAGTTCGGGCGCAACTGAATAACTGAGCGCGAGAGTGCTCCAGTCGAATACCTTATGCTTGTATTTTGACAACCTGTCAAGATCTCAGGTTATCCCGTATATGAGACGATAGGATGGGCCCTGCAAACGCAGGCCCAGTTCTGATCCAGTTGATCATCTGTCTTTCTTTACTCTCACTCTTAGGTTTCGGATGCTACCTGATCCTATTGAAATAATGTGTTGATCCACAAGCTAAGTTAGAATCGAGAAGGTCGCTTTGGCAATCCCTGTCGGCTCTTAAGTGTTCTATACCTCTATTCGAAATACGTAAAAGAGCGTCAGTGCAGCACCATACCCAGGAAGACGTACACGGTGCATGAACAACAGGCTTTTCTTTTTTTGGCCGTCGCCACTTGTGGTGTCGCGTTTTGCCGCTGGATGCTTTCTTCTTTCCGATAGTAGCGTCCCAAACGATTTCAATATAAAAATAAAGGATAAAGCATTTGCCGTTGATCAATCCCTTTTTGGGATGCGGCACGCATTCTACTTCCATTTGTACATTCGTAGTGGCGTTTGAATGCGATGTGGCCTATACAATGACTTGCGGGGCCAGCCGATGTACAAGTCAGTGTTTTTATCCTCCCAGACAAGTCTGGTACCAATTAACCGACCCCGGAGGGATGGAAGGCTTGGTTGGCCCGGGCGACTCACGACCCAGGATTTGATCCCCGGACCGCTCGCGTGGTAAGCGCGCCACTTGCCACTACACCACTTCCGCCCTTATTCGAATAGTATAGTAACGATTATTTGGACGTGTTGTTGATTCTGCTCATTCTTAAGCATTTCGACATAATATTCAGGCTACTTCCCAAGTGCGAAATCGAGCTGTAAGCGTGAGCCAAAACAGATGTGTTCACTGTGAAAACCAGTAGGACATTCCAGGCAACAACGTTGAAAAAAAGCGCTCAGTTGATATTTACATGTTTGGGTGCAACAAGGCCTGCGCTGCTTTACTGAACCCGAACAGCCTTTTGATTGACGGTCAGTCGTTGCTGATATGCCTGGGAACACCTGCCCCCCCCCGCCTCGTCGTTTGCGAATACTTTCAGATTCCTTGGATATTTGAAAAAATCAGGCTAGTCCTCTCATTATTATTTGAATGCACTTAACAGCTCCCGCCTGCTTGCAATGTCATGCACTTTAGGAATGAAAATTCTCATAATCAGCTGAGTTTTATTTTTATCTGTAATCATTTATGGGATCCGTTCCAGATCTTCAGAGAAATTCTGGCTTAATTCTTGAAAAATAAGTGTCTTCCCTCCTACTAAAATGTACAGTTACTGCGAAACAGTGGGTATAAATAACGGTAACTAGTGGGGATAATTTCGTGCTACGGCGGAAGTGCAAAGACAGCCTTGTAGGCAGGGTCGGTCCTATCGTTGCTACTTTCGATAACGACCCCCTTCTCGACCCTCGACCACCATATTCCTCGCTATAGCATTTTCAAGTATTTCATTCTGGTATCACTCGACCCACCAAAACCTCCGCCCACTTTTTCCTCCAAAAATGCCGTCGAGCGGGGGGTATATAGTCACTCTGAAACAGTAAAAATTTACCAAAATTCCCTAAATTTCCACCAATTTACCCCCACTTCTACCTATAATCCTTTTCTATATATACGCGCGCTGAAATGGCAAATTTTCTCTCGCGCCGCACAGCCACTCCGTCACTCACACTTATCTCATGCAACTTCTTACAATTCGAAGCAAGGACGACCCCCCCCCTCTACAAACTCATTCAAAATACGACCCCCCCCGTTGCTACTTGTAGCAACATAGGGTTGACCCTGCTTGATAGTGCGCACGTAAATATTAACTCTACTGTGGTTGCGATGAGTTTTTTTAGGCAAATGTTTACTGTTGGTTACTGGTGTCTGCCCAACAGCAATAATTGCATCTCTTGTTGAAGCAGGATCTGTGCTTGGTTACTTCCGAACCCTTATTCCAAAAGACAAACGATAAGATGCAGATAGCCATTCTCTTTGCGGGGAGGTAGCAGGGTCCCTGAACATAGTAGTCGTGGCACGCACACTGTGCGCGACAAGCATGCTAAGGCCTTAGCTTGACTACTGCGACCGCTGCCATTTTACTCGTTCGCAACGTGTGTGGTGTCTGCATTCTTATACAATCTGCTCTTTCACATAGTTCCTCTCTTGATCCCGCTACGTCTCTCTACAGTTCACTTCACAGGAAACGGCAGGATAAGGAGGCCCTTAATCGTGTTTTCTAATCCTCGTTACGCCTTTTTCCGCCCTTTTTTATTCCAATCTTTCCCATCAGTCGTTTAGTTTTCGACCGGAATAACATACACACCAATTCGATCGCTACTCTTGGCTTTATAAATGCAATATAAACAATGGCTAATACGCCATACATAGTTTGAAGATCTAGCTGGAATCCGAATCCTTGTAAAGATAAGGAAACTAAGAAAAACCATTAGAGCGTTATGCCATGTATCCGAATTGAAGGCAATGATCACGACACCTTGCTGACGTCATTAGCGTTACTGGTGGATCAGAACCTCAGCGCGCCTGGGACTATGGTTGGGATCACCTCCCAGCTCCCAGTGACGCTCAATGACGTCACTAAAACCGCTTCTTCCAGCCATGGTGTTAACTGCCTTCAAGGCTGCAGAGGCAATAAAAACCTTGAGGCTATCCTTCAATTTCTTATTCGGCAATCACTGGGGTAGGAAACATTCATCACACTTTCATTCAATCAATCAATTTAAACTAATGTAATTCAAGTAATTTAAATCCAAGTTCGATTTTTTCAAAATTAGGCTCAATTTTCCGCAGGCCTGCCGACGAAAGCTTCAGTCACAGTAAACAGAACATTCCTTAGGCAATGTTGGTCCTCTGAACTGATCACATTTATATCCACTACCATATCTTACCTGTACGTGCTTTGAAAAGGTATTCTTGTGGTACTTTGTTTTTTCTTAATTTCTGCAACTTTTTTTCCTGCCATTCTCCTTTTCATCACAAACGGCTACTCCTCAGTATTTTGTCGATAGCGTAGTAGCTGCATTATACGCGATATAAATAGCATCATATTTTGATGAATATTATGGATATCCATGAAAATTCATGATTTCATCGAATTGAGCACATAAACCATTCTTCCCACCTTGCTATGTAACCTCCCCTTCAAAAAGCCAGAAAGTGTCGGGTGCAGACCATACACCACAAGTGACGACGGCCTCCAAAATGCAAATGTTTTCTGCCAATGAAATGATTAGCCTGTTGCAGTTGTATTCTATCAGTTGTCACTAATTACAACTATCATTTACCAAAAATCAGCTATCACTATGAACACTACTAACCAGATTTACTTGGAGGCCGTCGTCACTTGTGGTGTATGGTCTGCACCGACAATTTCTGGCTTTTTGAAGGGGAGGGTAGAAAGGCACACACACCAGGATTTGAGATACACTAGGGTTCGTGTAGCGTGAGATTTCAAAGATGGAAGATAAGGGCGATAACAGTAAGGAGCAAAAGATAGGCGTTTCTCTTAGAGTGAAGGCGTAAGTCACTTTACGGGCGACCTGCGCAAATGTAACGCGCTATGACTCCTTTTCCAACGAGCACGGAGTTTGCTGTGTTGATTTACTCCCCTTACCCCCTCCCCCTACTGAACAATTGTCACCATTAGCTGCCGACAACAGGCGGGAAAATTGAAGCAGCTTAAGCTATTTTGCGAGGTAATAGCGCCCTTGTCGGTCAAAATCCACGCTAGAGAGTGCCAAATCTGCGATTGCCTTCTAGGGGTGTATCCTACATACGAAGGAGAAGGGTCACTCGACTTCTCTTGAGGGAGTGCACAAAAACGTGTTGTATTATCCACCACTATTCCCTCCCATGCGGGACTACTAGTTTGCATGAATCACGCAAGAAAGATTCAGATTCGTAAATAATAAATCTTGAAAAACACCAAATGGTGAACACCTGACAAAGCCTACTATGGCGCATGAACAAAGAGCGTTTTGGGCAACAAGGCATCACGTGCTATGTCGGGAGGAACGACTAAAATTCAGCCTTCACAGGATTTGGATCGCTTAAACAAACGTCCAAACACGATAGCACTGAAGAAGAAATATAAAGGTGGCATGTCTTTATCCCAAAAAAGAGGGGCAAAATAGTTCTTTTCAGCGGTGGGCCTCAAGAAACATGTGGAACCGCTCCCATGGGCAACAATTGTGACAGTAGCGCGGCAGGGACTCGAGCGAGCAACACCTTTCTCAGTTCTTCGGGTTTTTCACCAACATGAACACAATTGCTCATTTTGGTTCCATCGTGAGAAAGGTGGTTCAAGATAACGGCTAGTGGAAAAGGTAGAATCATACCGTGGGTTTCGCGCTGTGAAAGAATGTACTAAACCTGTAAGCTGGCCTCTTGTATCTGTGAAGACTTCATTGTCTCGCAATTTGACGGGAGTACCTTCAAATCTTATTTAGTTACAAGGAGATTTTGAATTTCCAAGCAGTATCGGAAAGTGGTTGATGGCTAATCATCGAAGCGTCTCGAGAAGCATTGTAGCTGAGTTATCGTAAGGCGTCGAGGTCTTCAGACTGCATAGACGGCGCTTTCAATGCGGCCCAGATATCTTCTTAAATTTAGCGTCTTTCAAAACATTGAAATCCGTACGCACTTGCTGAATGGAATATCCGGAACTCATGGAAATGGCTTTCAGTCTTCAAATAGGATAGAAAATTTTATTTTCTGATTTCTGATTTTCGGGATGTTTTTTTTGCAATACTTCTTATCTCTAAATTTGTGAATGTACTTTCTTATCTTGGCGTCAAAAGCGATTTACACAGTGCGTTAGAGGGAATAGGCACGAATTGGACGTACCGTCCTGTG